GAGGCTACACTTAATCTTTTAGAACCTGTTTTGGTAGTTATTGAGGTGTTTTTAATTTTTCAGGATTTCACTTCTCATTAATTTATTGAAACTGGCATTAAAATTAAAGTCATATTATAGCTATTGGAATTCTTCAATTTCTGCGGAACATTTGGCGTCAGGGGTAATTATACTACTAATTATATATATCCTCGATATTTAAACTGTCGGACTTGTTTTGATCTTTTTGCCTTTGTTTATGAGAAGAATTGGCTATAGATCTATAGATCTGTTAGGCCTATAATGTAATGTTGAAAAACAGCACTGATCGGGAAGGAGCTATAATAAAGAGTAGCAGTAGAAAGGCAGAGGAAAATGTCAGAGCCCAGTGGAAAAAAATGGGGGGGGGGGGGGGGGGTTGAGACAAAAGAAGACGACAGAGCGTGATTATAGAGAGCAGGAAAGGTGGAATGAGAAAATCATTTTAGAGAAGATTTTTTTTCATTGTCGCTGTCAGAGGTGAGCAGTACCTATCTGGACAACCGAGAGCACTGTCTGGATCATACATCACGCCCTTGCCTAACTCTGTTTTTGGCCTACAAGTAGGCCTGCGTATATAAAGGAGGTGGGGGTACTTAATGTACTAAATTTTAATTCGTTGTAGTAGGTAGGCTATTATGTGCCTAATTAGATCCTTTCCATTTAAGTCTCAATATCTTCCAAATTTTAAAATAAAATTAATCACATCTAACTTTACCAAAGAGCCTTTGAATAATCAACGAAACATAAATATTCATCTAGATCTCTGTACTTCAATACTTCTTTTCCATTAGCTTTTCGGGTACCCTTGTTTGAAGAAAACCTATTTCTATTTTGAGTTATAAATTAAAATATTATAATATTATGTTGCCAATGAATTCTTGTTCTTCCGAACACCGTAGATCACCTACAGTGTAACAGCTTTGGCTATTGCCAATGTCTCCAAACACTCCTGGGCCCTCAAAAACACGATTTGCCCAGGTCGCCCAAATAAACAAAGACACAAAAAGAGGGCAATCCTAACAAGAGCAGTCAGGTCAATGCCCCCAAGTTCTCCCCGCGCCCCGAATTGCCCGATTACCCTAGTGCACTTTGCGACCACTGGCCACTTGCCCTAATTTTCGAAGAATCGAAGAAGTTGCAGGTCAAGGGTCATGCCCCCACTGTAAAGGTGTATGCCCAAAAGGCCCACGGATAAAAAGTGCAGGAGAACGACTTATCGCAGCTCGCTTATTTTGGTAAACACTAGTGAATTACGATTTCTCGTACAACAGATGTATATTATGTTGAAGACACATAATGAGCGTGCATGACATTATTTGAAATGCGTAACATGATATACAATGATTGCACCCCCCCCCCCCCATTTTATGGGTACTATTATCGTTTCAATTTGTTTTCACTTCTTACCTATACAGGGTTCAAACAAAAACTTACAAAGCTCCATTTTTCCTCGTGTGCGATCAGGTGGGCTCGAGACATGATTCCCCCCCCCCCCCCCCCACACCCAGGAACTGATCTGACCACGATGTCACTTGCGTACAGTTAGTAACGTCAGAAAAAGCTGGCACCCTGAACCTCACCCTCTGGCCTCTGGCCCTAGCCTAGCAGTCAGCGACCCAACCACCAATCATCCTCGTCTCACGTGCCAAGAGCGAGCGACACTGCACACTGCACACAGACAGACATGACCTCAGAAGAATCAGCTGGGAGTGTGTGTGGCTCAGTTCGTGACCTCGCACGCAGCGTGTTGAGGACCTGAGGAAACAAACGTTCATGGAATCGCCTCATGGAATAGGCCTAGTGTGTTGTGTAAAATCTCATTGTCGGTAGTCTACACTACAAAGAGAACGTGAAAGGTGAAAGTTCGGACACTTCAGTTGTTTAGGAGACATCAGCCCAAGTTTCTTTAATAATATAATACTATATTTTCGGTCTCGTGGTATAATACAGTACGAGTACGTGACTCGTGAGTGTGTTTGTGAGGCAAAATATGATCCATTGGACTGTCTGAGAATGTTTTCTCTCTTCTGAAAATTAAAATTTTCTTAGCTCCGACTCGTTTTGTGGCGTTTGGCCCATTAAGTTGTGGCTAGTGGCGAGGTTATTTTCAGGAAGAAGACCACTGGACACTGTTGTGGTTTCCAATATGAATTGTGTCTTACATAATGTGGCCCGGGCTTTTAGATCACGGGGACAATTGGCCAAGGCGCCACTTTGTTCTCCTACAGTATTATTGCAGTCTGTGATAAATCAAAATGTATGGTCTTCTGTACCTTGTTGTTGTACATGTTCAGAGCAGCTGAGGACGCAATTCTCTGTCAGACACAGATCTACGACATCTATAAAGACAAAGATGAGTGAACCACTAACTCGAAGTCATCAGAACTTGGATCTCATGCCTAAGGAGGCCCAGACTGTCAATGTGGGTGAATCTGATGGTTGGCTTAACATCGGACAATACAGTGTCTTCGCCTGGAGTGTTTCTGGAGTAGAAAGCTGTATTGTGATCAAGTCAGAAGATGTCCATATTGTTTTTGATATGGGTGTTGCTGTTCCAGAGAGCGTTCGAGGCATGAATGTTTTCATTACGTAAGTAACCTAGAATCTAGATCTAGATCTAGATCTAGAATCTAGTCTATTCTAGCTTCTAGATCTAGATTAGATCTAGATATCTAGCTAGCACTTCCCCCTGTTCTTTACCCCCTCCACTCTCTCTCTCTCTCTCTCTCTCT